CATTCATGGATTTAATGGTTTCCCATAATTTCGTTGGGTTATTGAGGTTTGCCTTGGTAGATTCGTAATAGAAGCTAGATTTGCATTTCCATATTAACAAGGTGCACTTATTTCTCAGTGCCCTGAATAACTGCCATTCAGCCTGGGAATTACCCTTTCTGCCTTTGGCCCATTGTGTGTTTCGTTTATGGATAAAATCAGATAATTCCCCTGTAAACCAGGGATTGTCTCTACCTCTTACCCTGTACTTTTTGAGAAGGGCGTGTTTATCACAGATAGTAGAAAACATTTAATGAAAATAGGAGAATGCCTCTTCGATGTCTGGAATAAGCACAATCCTATCCCAGTAGCATGCATAAAGTTCATGCAGGAATGCTCACAGAATTGCGTAAAATTTCGTTTGACTATGAACTGAGGGGGCACTTTGGGGATGTTAGTGTCTCTAATGCAAGCAACTGCACAATGATCACTTAAATCATTAGGGTAAATACCAACGGCTGAGTATTTATGCGGATTGTGGTTTAGAATAACATCAATATGTGTTGCCTTAGAGATGTATTTTGGATGGAGTGTTGTGACTGCATTTATAATTTCAGTAAAATTCAGTGTATTGCACAGTCCTCTTGTGGCCTGGGAGTTTGGAGATAACCAGTCCCAGTTTAAATCACCCATGAGGACCATTTCATTTTCCCACCAACCACGCATCAGTTCAGCCAGAGAATCCAGGGATTCAACTTTTGCAGATGGAGGTCTATAACATCCTATTAAAGCTAAGTTCACAGCTTTCGATAACTGCAGTTTCAATGCTAAAAACTCAAACTGTTTTGGTTTAGATAAAGACCTTAGTTCAGTAACCACATACATGTACAATGAACAACACAGAAGCTTTTCGGCATGTTTTGTTATTACTGTATAACAAAAATAAATAGACAACGAAGTTGCCTCTTTTACAATGGGGGTCAATGTGAAATAATGTTTGTTTTCTCCATTTTGTGGGCGTGGTCGAGGGGAATTCCTTATTATTACCTGAATATCGACTCGGACCAACTCAACAAAGACAGTACAGTATGAAGATAAGCAGAAACTGCTTCTTTAATAGAAATCCCCAATCACACTTGTAGGCGATGTCATGGCGACATTGGCTAGCTAAGCTCATGCGCAGAAACACGTCATCATCATGATGAGTTTTCAAGGCGATACCGCTTCTCCAAGGACTCTGTAATGCAACTGGAAAGAAAGGTTGGACCATCCATTAAGCATGGGAGTGATAGGAACACGGCTGTACCCCCACTACTTCAGCTCTTGGTGACCCTACGGTTCTACGCAACTGGATGTTTCCAGATGGTGGATGGGGACCTTTTTGGACTCCACAAGTCAACCGTCTGCAGGATTGTAGTCAGTGTCCAGTGCTATTGCCAGTCTGAAGAATCAGTGCATAAGGTTCAAGCCTACAGAGGAAACTACAGCTGGATTTTGCAGGAGAGATTCCCAGGTGTACTAGGGGCAATAGACTGTACACACATTCTTATTCACAACCCTGGTGGTGAGAATGGCGAACTATTCCGTAATCGGAAAGGTTACTGCTCCATCAACGTGCAGGCTGTCTGTGACGACAAAGGTCAGCTCACCAACATCGTAGCTAGATGGCCAGGATCCACCCATGACAGCAGAATCTTTGACAATAGTCGTCTGTGTGCAATGCTGGAAAGGGGGGCATATGAAGGCCACTTACTAGGTGACAATGGATATGCCTGTCGTGGGTACCTTATGACTCCTCTTTTAAACCCCCTGACACCTGAAGAGAGAGAATACAACACCTCTCATATCCTGGCAAGAGGTCTCATAGAGAGTTTTTGGAGTGTGGAAAAAAAGATTCCCCTGCCTAAAGGAGGGGCTCCGCACGAAGATGGACACTACACTGACAATCATTATTGCAGTGGCAGTTCTGTATAACTTTGGCAAGAGACAAGGAGACAAGCTACCTGAGGAGGCTGAGGAGGTCCTACCTGAGGAGAATGCAGAAGATGGCCAGGTGCAACATGCTGCCAATGAAAATGGGAATGCTGTGAGGAGAACCTTGATTGAGAACCATTTTTCAGCCTAAGGTGTATATAATGTAACATTGGTAACATGTAAAAAGCTATATTATATTTTGATCGACACAAACAATTCCTATTTAGGCTATCTGTATTCAAATGTTTTATTTAGACTTTGTTATTCTCAATACCATACAGGGTGGAACTGGAAGCACCAGAACACAAGTCACACGTGGTCCTCTGTAGCTCAGCTGGTAGGGCATGGCGCTTGTAACGCCAGGGTAGTGGGTTTGATCCCCGGGACCACCCATACACAAAAATGGATGCACGCATGACTGTAAGTCGCTTTGGATAAAAGCGTCTGCTAAGTGGCATATTATTATTATTATATTAAGAGTGGGGACAAGACTGGAGGACACCAAATTGCTTGGGAAAGCATTGTTTTAATAAATCATTGTTTTAATAAATAATTGCTTAAATAAATAAAAAGATCAGCATTCTTTACACAGTGGGCATTTGTTTCCCTGAAGCAGTTTCTGTTTCTGAATTTGCAGTAGCGCTTTTTGTAAATTCAGGACCTCAATCTGCAGTAGAGTTTTCTCTCTCCAGCTCCAAAACATCAATATGAGCTTGGTTCATGTCAGTTTTGGGGCGTTTGCTTGGCCTGTCTGGTGTTTTGCTGCTGGTGCAAGATCCAGGCACTGCTATTTCTCCACAGCACATGGTGTCAGCTCAACTAAAGGAAAGGAAAGACAGGAAATGAACTCATTATTAGTAGGCTATTTACATACAGCCTTGGTACGAATAATGATGTTATGCAACATGCTGTAATGGGCCTGATAACGGTAACATTGTAGTGAAGTAGCATTAACGTTAGTTTTAACGTGCATTATAGTCATTGATATTTACCAGTTATTTATGCTTACTAAATATTGGTGGGTCGAGTTGTCCGTCGTCATCATAGGGGTTAAGGAGAGGGGCAAACTGCTGGGGAATCATCTCGCATAATCTTCTGGGAGAGAGGATCAATTCCCTTGGACGGAGGTCCCCCTCCGGTCTGAAATAGACCCCGCCTCTCCTCTGCCGCATCCTTTTTTAGCTTTCGCTTTTAAGTTTTTCTAGCATTCCTTCATCCGATGGGGGTCCCTCTTCTCTTTAATCCGTGTCGATCCATTAAATCTGTCGCATAAAATGGCCCATGTGTCTTCCTTCTTTTTGACAGTCGTGTTGTCTGTCTTTTTATCCTCCAGTACGTTACTAAATTCCTCCATCAGCTCCGACAAGAGGTTTTTTTCATAAGCGGATGAATTTGAACTTCTTTGATGTGCCATGATCAGGTGGCTAGCGGACAAATAATAAATGGCTAAATAACGTTAAGTAATGACAATAAATCATAATTTATGCTGGCTAGCTTGGTTTATAAACTAGCTAGCTACAGTAGCTAAGGTTAGCTAACAAATTAGTTTTCTGTCTAGTACTGGTAAATAACAGATTTTATTTCAAATCAGCCAACCCATGACAACCTTTCACGATGGAGTTGCAGTAGTTCTACATTGTTATTATTTTATCAAGGAACAGCAACTTTGTGGCCTCATTTGTCAAGTAGGCTAGCTAGTTCGTTTCAACTCACCAAATACCTCATATATTGGTGTAACATGTCACTAATCATAGTTTAAAACCTTTAATCATAGATTTACAGATCCAAATTTAAAATTAAGTGGTGCAACACATCTCTGCTTAATTATAAACCTAGATTTACAAAACCTAGATTAGCTCTAATCCTAGATTAATTAAAGCCATGTTGGTGCAACCCACCCATAGAGTTCAATATTTGGATAATCGTTGTGATTGGAGGATAGCTGTGAGGGTGATCGAATCAGGATCAAGTCCTCTGTTCTCCTAGAGCTCATTAATGATATAATATTCATATTTGAAGATGGCAGAAAGGCCAGTCTCTTTGGCAATGACAAGGAGTGGAATGTTAGCTAAATAGACTGATACTCAGGCTAGAATGTCTCTGCTGTAACCAAGAAGCAATTGCTCTTGATATCTAGCCACTTTGCTAGCAAGTTAGCAAACAAAATGCAAAGCTGGAGCCATGAGCTGGATATCATTATTTGACACATTTTAGATTTCTTACAGTTATACTTAACGTATAGTTATAAGCAGTGGCGTAGCATGCACCCCCGCAGCCCCCACGGTAAATCGCCCAAGACTAGATTTGATATGTCATTCTATGATTAGGCCCATAAATATTTTTGGTGTGTGCACACATAGGAGGTCCTGTACCAGGAAGAAATTAAATCTACTTTCACCCCTGCTAACACATAGCCTATGAAAACCCTATTATTAGCATTGCTACTACTAACATTACTACTGCAATCACTACCACTACCACTACTACTACTACTATTTCACAACCAGAAATACTTCAAGACTAGCAAGCACACCATATTTACTTCAGTAAATGTGATTCTTTAGTTTAACTAAATTTAGTAGTAGCTTGGTGGTAGATGAACTAAATTAAAATCTTGGTAGTGTTTTCAGTAGTTAATTAGCCTACTTTTTTTGCCACGTAGAGGTGTAGCTAACTACTGGAACTAGTACACAATTTCATCAGCTGTTGTATAATATTATATCAAACACAGGAAAAGGGGTCGTTTTAGTGTAGCTTAACTTCCTCCAGTGTGAAGTCATTGGTAACTTGGTAAACTCTATTTTCAGAGTAGCTTCCCCAACACTGAAATTACTCATTGGGTTGTTATTGTGTTGACCACCGCCATTTCTGTTACAGACAATATACTCCCCCCTGGGATCCATAGATATCCATTTGGTTTCAAAATTCCTGAGGGGTAAGTGGAAAGATAAGCCAAATTCATAGTCAAATTAAACGTGTTTGATATAGGCTACAGATTGGACATATTGTTGTTTTATATGGTATGTATCACTGTTTTTATATTACAGAAGCATGCCATCATCCTTCGAGGGTCCTCATGGGAAGATAGTGTACAAACTGGAAGCCAAGCTGGTCAGGGGTTGGCTAAAGACACGCGACCTAGTGAAGGAAATCACCTTTGTCTCCAAGGCTGACTTGAACCATGTCCTACTAATGGTGTGTAATCTGTGCTACCATAAAACTTCAATTAATAGCCCAGGCGTTTATTTGCTTCAATCACAGAACACAACCAGCGCTTATTAGAGCCAGGCGTCTATTTCCTTAATGCAGACAGCTTTTGCTCAATAAAATGTTGAAGACTACCACACTGTTTGTGACCAGTATGACCAGTATAAACATTATAATAATAATTCCATCGCAGATCAGACTTGCAAAGACTAGGCTGACTATCATACACCCCCGATTTCACACTTCAGCACCATTCTCTCACTTGTTGCGCCCCTTTGTGCCTTGTATCTCCGGTAGTTGAGCCGACCATGTCAAATGACACTGCTGTCTCGTCCAATGATGTTGCTCTCCTTTATCTTCTTTATGGTACTCACTGAAGTTCACTCATAAACAATTCATTTAGACCCAGTGTTTATTTGAAACAGGCGTTTATTTGCTGAAATGTGTGCCGATGCCCGTCTATTAAAAAAAGGGACAGGCGGCTATTTGAGACTCAGCGTTTAATTGAAGTTTTATGGTAATCTAGTCCATTTTATTATTCATTACATGTGGGAAATAGGATGGATGGATGTAAGGTGTTATTCATCACATACAGTGGGGGAAAAAAGTATTTAGTCAGCCACCAATTGTGCAAGTTCTCCCACTTAAAAAGATGAGAGAGGCCTGTAATTTTCATCATAGGTACACGTCAACTATGACAGACAAAATGAGAAAAATAAATCCAGAAAATCACATTGTAGGATTTTTAATGAATTTATTTTCAAATGATGGTGGAAAATAAGTATTTGGTCAATAACAAAAGTTTCTCAATACTTTGTTATATACCCTTTGTTGGCAATGACACAGGTCAAACGTTTTCTGTAAGTCTTCACAAGGTTTTCACACACTGTTGCTGGTATTTTGGCCCATTCCTCCATGCAGATCTCCTCTAGAGCAGTGATGTTTTGGGGCTGTCGCTGGGCAACACGGACTTTCAACTCCCTCCAAAGATTTTCTATGGGGTTGAGATCTGGAGACTGGCTAGGCCACTCCAGGACCTTAAAATGCTTCTTACTAAGCCACTCCTTCGTTGCCCGGGCGGTGTCTTTGGGATCATTGTCATGCTGAAAGACCCAGTCACGTTTCATCTTCAATGCCCTTGCTGATGGAAGGATGTTTTCACTCAAAATCTCACGATACATTGCCCCATTCATTCTTTCCTTTACACGGATCAGTCGTCCTGGTCCCTTTGCAGAAAAACAGCCCCAAAGCATGATGTTTCCACCCCCATGCTTCACAGTAGGTATGGTGTTCTTTGGACGCAACTCAGCATTCTTTGTCCTCCAAACACGACGAGTTGAGTTTTTACCAAAAAGTTCTATTTTGGTTTCATCTGACCATATGACATTCTCCCAATCCTCTTCTGGATCATCCAAATGCACTCTAGCAAACTTCAGACGGGCCTGGACATGTACTGGCTTAAGCAGGGGGACACATCTGGCACTGCAGGATTTGAGTCCCTGGCGGCGTAGTGTGTTACTGATGGTAGGCTTTGTTACTTTGGTCCCAGCTCTCTGCAGGTCATTCAATAGGTCCCCCCGTGTGGTTCTGGGATTTTTGCTCACCGTTCTTGTGATCATTTTGACCCCACGGGGTGAGATCTTGCGTGGAGCCCCAGATCAAGGGAGATTATCAGTGGTCTTGTATGTCTTCAATTTCCTAATAATTGCTCCCACAGTTGACTTCTTCAAACCAAGCTGCTTACCTATTGCAGATTCAGTCTTCCCAGCCTGGTGCAGGTCTACAATTTTGTTTCTGGTGTCCTTTGACAGCTCTTTGGTCTTGGCCATAGTGGAGTTTGGAGTGTGACTGTTTGAGGTTGTGGACAGGTGTCTTTTATACTGATAACAAGTTCAAACAGGTGCCATTAATACAGGTAACGAGTGGAGGACAGAGGAGCCTCTTAAAGAAGAAGTTACAGGTCTGTGAGAGCCAGAAATCTTGCTTGTTTGTAGGTGACCAAATACTTATTTTCCACCATAATTTGCAAATAAATTCCTTAAAAATCCTACAATGTGATTTTCTGGAATTTTTTTCTCAATTTGTCTGTCATAGTTGACGTGTACCTATGATGAAAATTACAGGCCTCTCTCATCTTTTTAAGTGGGAGAACTTGCACAATTGGTGGCTGACTAAATACTTTTTTCCCCCACTGTATGTGTGAAAGTGGATGGTTGGATGTACAGATCCCGGTTAGGTTTCCTTGTGTCATACTATTATAGAACATAATGTAATTTCCTTATCCTGCGTTCCAGTCTCCTCAGCATGGTGTGAAGAACAAGTCAGTTGGTATATTCACCTCAGGACATGTCACCATGGATGTCCACGTTGAAAGGATGGGTTATATGCCAGGTAATGTATCAACATGAAGGGCTAGAACTTGATACTGAAAAATATGCTCTGTTTCAGAGGGACTATGAAACGAGCTCTCATAAGTGTCCTGATCACACAATTAACTTTCACATACAAGGCTTAGTCAATATTTATAATGCCTTCAACATAACTGTACAGGACCTGTGCCAATGCACTGTTGTGTTGGTTATTTGAAATATCAGACTGTCTTTAATTTTGTGGTGGCTTCTTCCACTCTAGGTGAGATGGTGAATATCTGTGCAAACATCAAGAACAACTCCTCCCGTGACCTTAAGCCCAAATTCAGTCTGAAGCAGAAAATGACTTTCATTGCTACTGGCAACACAAAGATTGCAGAGCAGACAGTCTGCAAAGTAGTCAGAGAACCTATCCCGTCCAACACCCGACAAAGTGTTGCTGGGTCATTGAAGATACCTGCTGACCAGGACTTGTCCATCCTGAACTGTAACATCATAAGAGTAGAGTACATACTAAAGGTACATCCAAGTGTCAGGACAATCACTTCATATTCCTAGTATTAGACAGAAAGGTAACGCTTTAACGATAAGCTTTATGCTCAAGTGATGCATATTAACTTGACATTCGTAGTCACTAACACACGGATCTCCCATTGACGGTAGTGCAAAAAGGCAGGTCAGGCATGTGCATCTCAAGTTACGATTTGGCTAAAGAGATTTTGATGAATTCCCAATACTCCTCCTTAACATGCTGTTTGTTTTACAGGTATACTTGGACGTTCCTCTTGCCACAGACCCTGAAGTCAAGTTTCCATTGGTTATTATCCCTTCCTTCTTTCGGTCTGACCTATCACCAGGCAGGCCTGTCCTCGGGTTTGAAAAATTCGCGAAAGGTGGTCCAAGCAACAGTGACTTCCCTTCTGATACAGCCTTTGGACCACATTCTCCTGCCTCGAGTCCAGGGGGAAGCCTATATCGGTCTGTCCCACCAGTGTACTCTACCGCTGTAGCCATGGGAGGAAGTTATCACCCTGACCCACAGCAAACATACCCATACCAAACTCGCCTGTTAATGCATCCACCTCCAACTGCGCCACCATTTCATGCACCCCTGACTGCCCCGATGATGCTTTCACACACCTCTCCTCAAGAGACAGACCAACCCCCGTCGTATTGTTCCCTCTTTCCTCCGTCAGCGACTGAAACATATCACCCTGATACACCATAAACACTCATCTTTGACAGACGCGATGCAACTGATCCACTCCCAGTGTGTCATTGTTGCACACACCAACAGACCTGTAAACAGTATGTTAGTGAACGAACAAAATGCCAGGTTTAAGTCAGTGTTTCAAGTCTATATCATTTGTTTGTGTGTTTTGAACCATAAAGATTTTTTTTTTAGACCTGCTTTTGAGTTCTGTCTTCCAGGATTTGTGTCTGATGCAACATTTATAAAAAATATATTTTTTTTTAATGTAATGCTCAGATCACTCATATGGTGCCTTCTTGACTGCCTTTATGAATTAATGTAAACGTAATTTTTTTGCAAACATTTTTTGACTCCAGGTTTGCCACCACAGTGCCCTTCATTTGTTAATGCAAAATGCATGCAGCATTAATTGCTCAGTATTGTTGTGATTTAAACCCCTGTACCAGGACACCTTTGCTAACACACATTTGGTACCAATGATGTATTCACTGAGAAAATACAGTATTGCACTACTACTGCTGTTGTTGTTGTTTAACTAATTAAATATATCACAGGAGGGATAGGCCTACCCTCATTTCATTTATTTATTTACAGTGCGTGTGATATTGCATTGTTTCTATTCTATTATTATATAGGCTACAGGGGCAGACTCCTGTTACCTATCACATTCTTTGTTCACAGTTTGTTTATGTCAGACATTTTCAAGTCTGTTTCATGTTAGCCTTCCAATCATCATTATTAGATCAATATTCGGTTGCTGTTAGTTTTGCTGGCATATGACCTACTCCACATAAATGGCAATTATAAATTGTAGCTGTTTGTGCGATTTAATTATGTGGTATGCTAGGTAACCAGCTCTGATTGGACGCATGAAGTTCAGTTCACACCCCTCGCCCCTGTGGGGAACACATCTCGACTCAACACACTAACGCACACATCTAGGCTGTTGCCACGGGATACGGTACTGCACTACTTGTCATGGGGAACAGGGTTTTGGGTCCCTGGGTTTTCATTCTCGTTTTCCACGGTAAGAACTTGTAAGAAATTTACTAGCTATATGTAGTTTAATGGGGGAAATGTGTTGTTTTTCTCTTATTTTTCTATACTATAAAATATTTTAAGTTAGCTAGTTTTCTGGTTTAGACTTAACAATATTGTTTATAGTTAGCTAGCTTGTTTGCTAACGTTGCAGTAGTGTGCATGCATCCACACTTGTTTTTAGCTAGCTAGATAGTTACTGTAGCAGCTCAAAAGTTAGCTATACAAGTATAAAGTAATCTATTACAGCTAAGTTAAATCGAATTTTAGTGCGAGGAAGCTTGTTGTTGTAAAGCTGTAATTCAGCAATTAGCTACTGACTGACTCGACTTCACAGAGTAACGTGACAGCTAGGGACACCCATTAATAGGTTCCACCTCGGGTCGCGCCATTGTTGTGAACGTTCTCAAGCCGCCCTCTACCGGCGGCGCAATAGAGGGGTCCTAAAGTCGTGATAAACCCAGTCATTCTGGACGGAGGCTAACGACTGTTAAGTCAAAATTACACTATAGTGCCTGGAAATACGATGACATTGCTAAAGTAGTCAAATATTTAGTAGGAAACAACTTTGCCAGCATTATCATGTCGTCAAATTTACTTTAGACAAATGGCAATGTCATTAGCTAGCAAAGTTCGTCAAAAAATAGCTAGCAATTCGAACGTTAGCTAGCTAACGTTTATTAAACATATTTGGTTGTACTGCATCTAAAGTCAATCTGGCGACATCAAAATGATGACAAAAGGTTTTACTACTAATTAATTGCCTTTCTTTTAATGTCATTGTATTTCCAAACCACTGTAATGCACTTTTGATTAAATCTTCATCAGTGCTCAATAATAATGCATTGAGTAGAATGCTCAGACAGGCATCAATCCAAAACGAATGTTCAAAACAATAGTGACGTAACTTGCAATCCATGAATAGCTACCAAAACACAACATGGGAATAATCCCTCCATGGGCCAGGACATTGTTATTTAATCAGTTCATATTACAAAAAATTGTCTAGTTTATAACATGGCTGTAAACCAGAGCCTTTTAGCCCTGAGCCTACACCTTATAGCCTACCTTGTCTGACCTGGACACATTTGTTTGTCCAAGGAGCTTCTTTCCTTTCATAGGCTAATGCACTGTAATGTTATATTATACTGTTTTCTCCCATAGAGGTGGCTGGCTTTAGCATCAGGAATGAGCTGCTGGGTAAGTGTGTGCAGGTCCTGGTCCAGGATGGGCATCCCGGGGGCAGGGTGGTGCTGGGGGAGTGCATCCCTGGCTCAGCGCTGCAGGAGTGGCAGTGGCTCCCTGAGCGCCTAGCCCTGAGCAGCCGGCTCACAGGAGAGTGTCTGAGTGGCCAGGAGCATGATCTGAGTGTCCGACTGCACTACTGTGGCCCTGGGAATGAGGAGGGAGCTGGGGCTGCAGGTGGCGAGGTGGGCAGGGAGGGCCAGGCATGGGCCTGCTCTAAGAAGGGCCACCTCGCACTTCAAGGAAAGGGGCTCCACCTCAACGCTCGTCACGTATCCTCTAAGCTGTCTAAGATCTTCCTCTCTAAAGAGCGTGGGCAGGCCAGCAAGTGGAGAACGCTGGGCAAACATACTGTGTGTGGTGATAGAGACAGCCATCACCACCACCATCGCCACAGGTCCACACAAACTGCTGCTCTGCCCCCCTCAACAAGTGCCCCTTCCAATACAAACAGCCAACCAGAGTCGAGTAAGAAGAACCGTCGGCTAGGGTCCCATCATAGAGAAGGGATGTGCATAATGTCATCCTTCAGTAGCTTTCATTATAGATCTCATTCATTCTCATCATACTGTGGGCTATCTGTAACTGCCATTTTTATCGGTTGTACATTTCCTCGCTGTCAAGCTCTGAATTACATTAACACAACTGTACTTGTACGCTACATGTCTTGGGTCATAGTCACTGTTATTTCCATTGTCTCCTATGCAGTGTCTACCAAACAAAGTCTTAAGTTATTCTGTCAGTATTTGTTCTACCGATCTTTCATTTGCCATAGAAATACATTATAACAAAGTCACTTTTTCTTATCTGCTTTGAGAATACCTTGGTTCGGTCAGTGTCTTAGGCTTAATAGTGGGTGATCCAAATGCTGTCTCAGCATGGTCAGATACCACTAGTTCCATCAGGGATTGGATTTCCACTGTCCTTGCTGGCTAAATCTCATTCCGCTAAGTGCTCTCCAATATTTAGGGTCCTAATATGGGCTGGTTGCCAGCAAGTCCATAACTCTTCACTTGGGGCTCCTCCCTACACCAGTCCTATGGGGCACTAGTCTAGACCTATGTGTATGTCTTTTGATTCAATTCAATCTCATAATCCTCAGTTAAGTATTTTGGTCTGGCTTTGGTAAGATGGCATACTAATTGATGAAGAGGTTAATAAAACAAAGGAGCTATGGCTTTGAGAGAATAACTAGGGTGTTACTCCTGTGTTATTACACTCTAATGCTGATGTGATGCCCCCCCTCCAGTTCCAGGGGATGGTGTGGTTGCCCCTAACACCACTGGAATGGACCCTGGGACCGAGCTCTCTCATCTGGCTGAAAGCATCACGGGCCTTGAGGGCCCCTCAATTACATTCTTCACCGCTGAGTATGGTGAGTTGGGAAACCTATTGCCGGAGGGTTGTGGAAGGAAGACTATAACTGCTTTCAAAACAAATCCAGGAGCAAAACACATTTCTCTGCCCAGATGGGCTGTGGGTCCTTCTACTATGTGCCTTATCTACCACACGGTGGCGCTAGAGGAGAGAGAAACTTACATAGGAATCTGTAGAGTGGGTGTATTGATGTATAAGCCCACTCAGATAACTCCAGTTTCTAAAGGAAAGCGTTTGTTCACTCTGAACTGTCGATTATGGGAGTTTCTGAGAGTTTGTCCATCTCTCTCTCTTTGTGTGTGTTATAGGGTTTGGCTGGAAAGTGACCATGCTGGTGCTGAGCTCTCTGGCTCTGGTGCTGGGGACTATCATACTCTTCCTCAACATCCACCACAACAGGTGGGTGCTTATATTTCTCCTATTTCAAACATGTACAAGTGTGTATTAATACACGTGTGAATTGGAAATGTGTTTTTTCCAATTAAGGTTAAGTGCCTTGCTCAAGCGCAAATTGACAGATTTTCTTTCACCATGTAACCGCTAGACTAACCTGCCCACTGCACCACTACTGGTCTACTGACAAGGGGCCTAAGGGGAAATGCAACTTGCCAGTAATACCATAAACATACATTTTGGATCCAGTATTATGAAAACTACATTCAAGAATTATCGAATTTCCCTCCTGAATGTGAATTATGCTCCAAAGATCCTGTGGTTAGGAAGATTTTTTGAACAACCCAGAACTACAACTTCATCACATACAACTTTTTAAAACGACAATAACCACAACTTCCCACACAGTTGCAAAACTACAAATGAGAACTACAAATGAATGATTTCTCTCTCCCAGGAAGAAGAAGGTGGTGTGTATGCTGAAGTCGTACACTCCTACAGGGGTGGTGAGTCAGCCGGGGTCCCCCGTGCTCAGTGAGAGAGCCCCCCTCACGCAGCACCCCATGCGGCCGGCCCACTCTCCCTCCCTACAGCGAGGAGAGATCTTGATCAAGTGGAAGGACGGTACAGTCACCCCGCTGTTCGACAGCTACCTGACTGACTGAAGGACAAATGTGTCTGTGTGTGTGTGTGTGTCTTTGTGCTTGTAGAGAGAAAGAGAAACAAAGGGAATCTGAAAATCTATTTTAGGTTCAGAGGTGCACAGTGAACACACACACACATTTCAATGCATTTCAATATTAGATTCCACAAGAAGTGTGCTGATATGAATCAGCAAAGCGGTCATGTTACATTTTCTACACAGGAACATTTGGAAAAATATGCACATCCAACTCATCAGGTGCAGGGCAGATGAACGTATCAAAGAAAAAAGTAATGTCTGCAACTCTGGTATGCTCCCATGGTGATTTAATCAGACGCACAAAAAAGACAACGGTTCGATCCGAGTTGGATCTTTGTCAGGTCACATTTTCAACCCACACGCTTCATGGAATGTCTTGAAAGCACTCACTTCCCTTAGAAGTATCTGGCCTAGCTGAGATGAAAGTGAGCAATGAAGTCCTGCCAGAAGATGTAGCTGAGCCTGGTTGAAGGACCGTTACGGTATATTCCAAACCCCAGATGAACTGGACAAACAGACTTTCCCTCTAACTTAGTGAGACAAATGTCCAGGTGCTTCCAGCTGGTGTGAGTCAGTAGTGGATTGTATGTACTGTAGTCGTAACACTAGACTAGAGTGAAGGATGTTCAAGGTGATTCCTGATGTATTTGTAGCATTGCCATGATATCAATTGCTAGTGTGTTGAGGTGTCAACAATGTTGGCAATCTAGTAATAGCCAAATGAGAATAGAAGAGAATAATTATAGTTTTTGCGATGATAACAGGATGTTTTCAGAGCTAGTATTATGGTAGCTTTTGTATAGAAGATATGATGTGAAATTACATTTTAAATTGGTGAAATGTGGGAAAATAACATTTGTAAGGATTGTTGTGTCTGAATTATGGATATTGTACTTGCTCACTAATATAGTTAGTGTTGACCGTTACTGTACAACATTCTGATATGTTGATGCATAGAGCCTTACCGATATGGGGGAATAAATGGAATTCTATAGTATTTCAATTAAATGTTTCAAGGACAAAATTACATGTACTTAAGTATTTTTTGTTGTTGTAGTGGGGACAGTAACATTAGTACTCAAAGAATATATACTTTAAGGAAAATGTTGTTATATATTTTTAATGTTTAGATCACAATAGAATATAGGTGTCAAAAACGAGTGTAGACATTAATAAATGCATTTCTATAGCTTCCAAAAATATATTTTACAATTGAGGAGTACCAAGATGGCGGCGCAGTGGCTTCAATACAGCGCCCCCTGTCTGTCATCCAGGGTTTATACACATTATTGGTTAGGAAATGGTTTTCCCAAGGATCCTGGATAGCATTAACCACAAAATCAATGCTAGCTCTTAAAGGGGCAGTAGCCTACATTACGTGTACCATTTCCAATTAGAGCATTATTTAATCTACTGCAGTATTATTCTGCTATTCTGTTACCAATATATAATATTTACATATTAATATGACTTTCTGATTATAAATGTCTCATCTTTAGGCCTCCTGAGTGGCGCAGCGGTCTAAGGCACTACATCGCCTGGGCGCCTGCAAGCAGACTTTGGTCGTCAGTTGGACGGTGTTTCCTCAGACACATTGGTGCGGCTTGCTTCCGGGTTAAGCAATCAGTGTGTCAAGAAGCAGGGTCGTGTTTCGGAGGACGCATGGCTCTTGACCTTCGCCTCTCCCGAGTCCGTAGGGGAGTTACAGCGATGAGAAAAGACTGTAACTACTAATTGGATACCACGAAAGGGGTAAAAGTAAAAAATAAATTAAATAAATGTCTCATCTTTTTAAAGGTGCTACACCTAGAATTTCTCCCCCATGTGGAAGCTAGGTGAATTGCAAAAGCGCTAGGCTGCATTCAAAACAAATCTCCCCCGCATCCCATTTCCCCGTAACATGGCGGAGACTCGCGCTTGAGCCCTTTATTTGTAGATGGTACAATGATTCCCTATACTATCCAGTGCTTGTTTTCTCACATGAACTGAAATTCAGCAAACAGTGTAGAATTTTAGCAACCACTTGACCCGATTTCCTCTAGATAACACAGCTTTTCTTATTTTGACAGCCAATGCCGCTCCAGCTGGAGAATCAATAGGCAAATATCACAGCTAATCACAACGCTGGCAGGTAAAAGCCGATTTATGGTCAATCCGACATCTGCATTGGCCAGACAGCATTTATGGCAATGCGGCATCTGCAGAAGTCTGAGCATTCATACTTCTTGCGCTTCGCGGAGCAGAGCTGTTGTCAAGGAAGTGACACCGCCCCCACCTACCGTCAACCAATCATGTCAATGTGGACCTATACGGAGCCCTCCGCATTTGTAAAAAATGTGGGAGGTGCACGGCATCGCCGTACGGAGCTTGAATTGTCCTCCACAAGCCTCCGGAGGCGCCGCAATTGCGTCACACCCTCTGTACGGAGTCTCCTGACCGCATTGCCGTATCAAACATAAATCAGCTTTAAGTAATACTGTGAAACACTATCATTCCACTATTACTGCAGATATATTATGGACATTTTCTGTAATTCTTAACAAAATCCTATGTGTAGCACATTTAACTAAATGCAATCTATTAGCTTCCAAAATGTAAAGGTATATCTGGCTGGCTAATAACACGTTCTGATGGAATGGCTTGTCCTGCACTTTGTAAAAACCCAGAGTGCATTGAGTGAATGTTGGAAAAAGATCTTGGTTCCTTTCTAAACGTAGCAATGTGAATGCAAAGAGGACTCGGACCACAAAATAGGTGAAGTGAACTGGCAAAAGAGTTGGGTCTTCATGCAAGGGCAGTGTGACTACAAAGAGAACTGAGTTATTTTGCTTTATTTTCTACCAGAGAGTTCACTTTAAAGAGGGCTGAGATCAGTTCTTTTAAAGAGAACTATATGTGATAACACTCTTAAGTTTCCCTGGATGAGAGACCAGATGCTGCTGGAAGTGGTGTTGGAGGGCCAGTAGGGAGCAGTCTTTCCTCTGGTTTAAGGAGATCCCAATGCCCCAGGGCAGTGATTGGAGACATCGCCCTGTGTAGGGTGCTGTTTTTCAGATGGGACGTTAAACGAATGTCCCGACTCTGTGGTCACTAAAGGTCCCATTGCACTTATCGTAAGAATAGGGGTGTTAACCCCGGTGTCCTGGATACATTTCCAATCTGGCCCTCATACCATCATGGCCACCTAATCATCCCCAGCTTCCAATTGGCTCATCCACCCCCTCCTCCCCCTGTAACTATTCCCAAGGTCGTTGCTGTAAATAAGAATGTGTTCTCAGTCAACTTACCTGGTAAAATAAGGGTTGAATGAGAATGGCCACAATAAACGTGAAATAAATATTTTCATCCTATTTATCGAATATCGATGGAATTATCAGCCAATATCAATATACTGGTAAAAGGCCAATAACGGATGATAATATGTTATGAATCAATGTATTAGTTAGTCATGCTCTATAGTAAATTAATTTGGGTGGTGAAACCACCTATAGCCAATTTAGGTATATATTATGGTAATAACAGCTATGGCAGGCTCTCACCACTGGTGGGTGTGATGACATGCTGTAACGCCCTCAAACAAGTGTATGAACATCTAGTTACAAAATTCTGGCTGTTGTGAATATGATTCTGTTAGAACTTGCAGTCTAACTCCTCTGACTATCGTTGTTATGATGCCAATAATCATGATTACCTGTATATTAGTAATTTGGTGGGTGCTTACATTTGTCCTGTTTCACACATGTACAAATTGGAAATGTGTTTTTTGCTAATCCCAACTCCCTGAGACACCCTCAGAGAGTGGTGTCACAGCCTACCATTATCAACAGTGACCCTGGTGCCTTGTTCAAGAGCACATCGACAGATTTTTCACCTTGATGGCTCTGGGATTTGAACTATCAACCTTTCAGTTATTGGCCCACTGCTCTACCTGACCTGGTATTGATAGCAGCCATGAATTATTTCTTAATTTCATGACACAAATCTTATCTATTTTCTATCTATTATCAATCTAAACTATTTTCCTGAGAGTTTTTCCTGAGGCGGCAGTATAAGTGCCAATGGTATAGAAACTCTGAGTACAAGCTTACATAGGAACTCTACATGATTGAACACACACCCAAACCCACACACAGATTCCTTAGGAACACAACATGAATACAAACCTGCACGCACAGTCAAATAATAACTCCTGGGTTTTACAGGAAAAACACTGCAGCTGAGCAGTCACTCCTTCATGACTCTGTGCTTCTTCACAGCTCTGTTCTCTTACATTTGAGTCATTTAGCAGACGCTCTTATCCAGAACGACTTACAGGAGCAATTAGGGTTAAGTGCCTTGCTCAAGGGCACATCGACAGATTTTTCACCTAGTCGGCTCGGGGATTAGAACCAGCGACCTTTCGGTTACTGGCACAACGCTCTTAACCACTAAGCTACCTGCCGCCCTGAAGCACATGCAGATTTGGAACTGACCAGGTCTGTGAGAGGTTTTGCTGAGAAAGTGACTTCAGGCTATCCTCTGGTAACCTTGTGTTCGAGCCTCCTAACCGTAAAAATAAAGTTGAAAAAGTAATAATTATTTTGCCGTTAACATCCTATTTATCGAAAATCAGCAAAATTATCGGCAGATATCAATATATCGCTGTAAGGCCAATATCTGCCGATAATATTTTGCAGAATTGAATTACAGACTACTACATTACTGTAACTGTTCTTCTGACATTCCCTTATACATACTGTATAAAAAACACATGTATTACATACAGTACCAGTCAAAAGTTTGGACACACCTACTCATTCAAGGGTTTTTCTTTATTTTTACTATTTTCTACATTGTCGAATAATTGTGAAGACATCAAAACTATAAAATAACACATATGGAATCATGTAGTAACCAAAAAAGTGTTAAACAAATCAAAATATATTTGAGATTTGAGATTGTTCAAAGTAGCCAGCCTTTGTTTTTGTTTTTGTTTTGTTTTTTTTGTCTGTCTTGATGACAGCTTTGCACACTTGGCATTC